TTTAAATTTTTTTTTTATTTTATCATGTTATCAAAATACTTTTAATTGGAGATGCTTGCGTGCCGTAGTTTTGAGACTGGCTTAATGTCAAAATGTATTTATTAGGTATACATACGACGCTGAATAATTCATTTTAACTTTATTAATGTCAAAGTCTTAACAATCGCCATATTTAAATTGTTTACATATCTCTAAATCTTAAAATACAATGAGTTTGTCAAGATTTTTTTGTTTTATTTTTTTGGTTTATGCATGGGCATATTACCCAATATGCCAATCTGACAGTATTGTTAGGATAACAATTTAGTGAGCAGAAATGAGTATAGGATTTAAATAATAGGATGGAAAACAATTAATTATTTTATTATTATTACAGTGCAGTACCAAGAAAAAAATATAATAATAATTAATCTTAATATTATTTAGAGATGAATAGGTGGATTTAAATTTTCCTCTTAATCAAAATAATGAAACATTCTGTAAGTTAGCTAAGCGTTGTATTAACGAAATAAATTGTTCAGATATTTCACGTTTTTAGAAAAAAAAAATAGATTTAGATTAATATAAAATGTACAATATATGGAGAAGGAACGTAACATATCTCTATTTTTAACCTATTACAATTTTATTCTCAGTTTCTCCCTAAAACTTTTTTACATTACTAATTCAATGAAATTCAAAATAATTTAACGAATACAAATTTTAAAAAACAAAACAGAAATAGTTGATCTTCAGAAAAAATGAGATTCGTAATGATGCACCTACATCTTTATATATTCTTCTATTTGTTTCATTATATAGAATAATTCATTTATATAATATTAATAACTATAATAATATATGCATAAGAAAATAAAAATAATAAACTTAATAACTTTAATAATGAAAAGTTAGTAACCTACATTAGGAATATTTTGACTTTATGGACTTCACAATCGCTGCAAGACTTCTACACCTGAAAGAAGTCACCAAACACATTTAATAGCCTAAGTAATCATTGTTATTTATTATTACTATATTACTTGCAATTATTTTCGATATAATTATTTATTTCATCTTATAGTCTTCGTTGAGCTTCTTTTGGTTCCTTCATACACTCTGATCTTTGTATAAAATGAATTGTTCCTAAAATGAATAATTATAACATTCTGATTTAGGTATATATTATTACTTTTACTTATATATATAAAATATGTAACAAGGGAAAGTGTTGTATACAAGTATTTTTTATTTTTTTTTTTTTTTTGGTTACTGCAGCAATCTTCTCTCATCCAAATTGTATGCATTATTAGACGACGCTCGCTCCACTTTTCAGATTTCTTTTCTAGAAGCAGCCATGGACAATGCGGTTCTGATTAGAATTCAATCAGATTCCAAGTCTTCACTTTCTTCATTTACTCCCGTTCATGAGGGTCAACAATAGGATTTCTTCAAGAAGTTTCTAGTAAACAGTTCTTTTGTTGTTTTTGTTACCTCCGTCCACAAATTCTGTTTCATTAACATTTCTTTTTTTCGTGAGCTAAGGGAAACCAAGTCAGAGAATAAATTGTAAACGATCTATGAACATGAACAGGTGAAATAGACAAACAAACATGATAAATTAGGTATCCTGAATATATATTAAATGTGTTTGGCTTACAAGATGGCATAGATCTAAGTACATTAATAACTTTCAACAGTTGGATTTTGCAAATTTATAATTATTTTAAGTTACATTAAATATTAAATGTCTTTAATAATCTGTACTGAAATGAAAAATAAGACAATCAGTAAAGACAATTAAAATACAATTATTGCAGGTATCAAAAAAGAGGATTAATATTTCAACCAACAAAACATTATTATTTTTTTATGATAAAATATTTGTACTACAAAATTGATGAAATAAATTTAATTTAAAGCTAACATATTGAAAAGTAAAGATGAGAAACTAATACATAATTCGGAGTAATAATAAAATTAATTATTAAAATATTTCTGAATTTAATAATCGTTCAATAAAGTCAATTATCGGCTAGTAAATTTCTGGATTGAGTTCGGTGAAGTTTTAAGTTGATAATCTGGTCCAATCTTCTTGTTGAAACATTTTTAAGTTCATTAACATATTCTGATACAGATTACATTTTTTATGAGCTGAGTAATTAACATTTGATATGTATCTTATAAAGATCTAAATATTAAATTACATTATATTATAATGCTAAAAAAAATCATAAACGTTATTAACTTTTTATTTAAAACCCTTTTATTGAATAATATTACGTTCTGTCACAATAAATAAATGAATGAATGAATTTAAATTGAGTACTTTTATACGATAAAGAATAAACATTAAACAAACCAAACTCAATAAAAATAATGTACGACTATTCAACAGGTTGGCACTGGCCAGAAAGTATTGTTAATAATACCCTAAATCCTTCCAATCGATATACCATTATAGTTAATAATATCATAAGAATTTTACAAGTAATATAAATATACACCATGGATAACCTCATACGCAATACAATAAAAACATAACGGCTATAATATATAAACACATAATAAATATAACTATTCAGGAATAACTTGTAAAATAACTAATAATTATATTCCTGACACAATAACTGACAATAACCTCACCATGCCTAAATAATATATCAAAAAATTAAATTAAAAAATAATTAATTAAATAACAATATTTTAAAAATGAATTTAAAGAAATATAAATAAATTAAATTATAATCAAAGTAAACTAACAGAATACACAGGCAAATTTATATCTACTATTTACAATCAGTCTGAGAAATCCCGGACCAGACTTGTGGAGGGATAAGCAGGGATTCATAAGATCCCAACGCTTCTCTTTCAACCAAGCTACTGGTAGTAAAAGCCAATGGAGATTTTTATTACCTTAATTTAAATTTCAAAATAATTTAAACAAACCCAAAAATATTATCTACATTTCAAACACACATATTCGGCTAGAAAGAACAATAATACAGCTTGAAACCTAAATGTTTATGTTTTGGTATTCTTATATTTGTGAACAAAGTATTTTTTTTTAATTATAAGCAATTTGAATAAACAGAAAAAAATGGTACCAATATGGACAAAATAAATACATTTATAAACAAGTTTAAGTCTCATTAAACACTTTTTTTTATTTGTTAATGATATTTATAACTGTATTTTAATACAAATACATTTAGTAAATAGAATAACAGGAAATTATAAAATGGAAACACTTGTTGAGAAACTGATAGCACTCTATTCATTCAACACTAATTTTCTCTATTATAAATAAATTGAAAGTATAAATTACAAAATCACTCCAATGTCTAACAGGGTTAAAGTCTTTTAAAATGTTCCGAATGAAAAAACTATACTTTCTTCTTATTGACAAAATTAGTAACTTTACAATTTAAACAATATTTTATTTCCTGAATAAAATTTAAATAAATAATTCATATAAAAATCAGAGAATGGCACTTTTGCTACAATAACCTTGAATTACTGAAAACAGAAACTTAGAATAGTTGAAAAATCAATTTACCAATCGCCATCATAAAACAAAATGGCCGTAGATCAAAAATTCAGATATTTTGTCCGATTTTCTTAAAAAAAAAAAATAATAATAATATTAATTAGTGCAATAGAAAACTACTTTGTTATAATCCGTTCTATTGTCAATTAATTGCCAGAAACAATATTTTCTCCTAATTAATTAACAATAGAACGGATTGTAACAAAAACAATTTTCTGTTGCATCATTTTCTTTTATTTTTTTTATTATTCCTTTCCTTTTGATTTTTAACCCACCGATAATTTTTTTTTACATACAGCATGACAACAATCTACAATGATTGCTAAAAAATAAAAATAATTAAAGAACGACATCCAAATCGGATGGAATTAGCTTCAAAAGGTAATGTGTAGAAACTCCATACGATTGGAAATTATAAAGTATTTTGTGATATGTATGTATATAATACAATTTTAGATAAATATGGTGCAGAGCACCGAGACTCAAACGGAAATAAATGAGACTGTATAAAAAAGGGCGTGTTTCTAATTATCATTATTGAAAAAGAAAAACAAAAATATTAAAAGGTGAATAATTGTAGTAGTCCGTGTTATAGACCTCTTTTTATGAAATTATTAACTTCCGCCTACTTAAAACTTTGTAAATAGATCTCATCGTAATCTACGAATATTTTATTTAAGAAAATTCTCGGGATTAAGGCGTTTTCAATCTGGAGATCGGCAAACTTTTTCTATTTAATTAGGTACTAAAAACAGATGAATACACGGATGCTTTCCACTTTAATCGTAAGATAATATGATCATAAAATCCAAAAAAAGGTGGCCTACCCTAAGGTGTGAGCCACCTTTTTTTTCGATTTTGTGATCATATTATCTTGAGATTCAATTGGAAAGCAAATGAGTTTTCATGAGTTTTTAGTACCTAATTAAATAGACAAAGTTTGCTTATCTGCAGATTGAAAACGCTTAACTCCGATTTTCGCAAATAAAATATTTGTGGGTAACGATGAGATAAAGCTATTTACGAAGTACCACGGACTATAGTGATGATAAAAGCAACTGGTGTTCCTGTGGGAGCTTTATGAACCTTGCATACCTGTGTTATCATTCCTATAAGGACGGAAAACAAACTAATAATTTTTAAATATTAAATCAATTAAAATATAAGTAATATGAGAACTTTAAACAAAGCCATAAAATAAAAATAAATTTGAATCATGAAAAATGTTGTACTATAAGAAAAAAATTAGCTGTTAAGAAATATATAAACATTTTTATAAGATGTGTTTTTAAAATGAACTATTATTTCTCATAGAATGTTCAAAATAATTAATAGATGAATAATTCGTGTTATTTGTTAGCGGGTTGTGAAAGGAGCAAACCGCAGGTTTCCAATGATCCTATCGACGATCCTAGACCGGTCGTTAAGGCCGGGAGATGTTCTAGGTAAAGGTTAACTGAAGAAAGACAGTTCACGGCTCAGCGAGCGAGAGTGGACTCCAGTCAAGATCAAGGAAAATCCTTGCATCACGGCTTCTCCTTTCTCCAACCTCAGCTACTGTAATGTCTCCTGCCGCAGTTTGCGCTTCGAAAACAAATTAAATATCTTTTAATTTATTTTATTTTATTTTTTTTAATTTCAGTCAAAGTGATAGATGTAAATAATAAAATTATTATGAAACATAATAATTATAATTTGGATTGGATTGGAAGCTTTATATTTGTTCCAAATACGTAAATACCAAAGGGATATAATGGTATACCATGATTTTCAAATAGCATAACGACGGATTACTGCAAAAAGTACAGGTATTTTTGATAGAGCTAAACTAAAAAACGTGTTTGTGAATTTCGAGCTTATTTGTCTATAAAATAACAAAACAAAGTGCACAGAAATGACACAAGCCCTTTTATATATCAAATATAGTCACGGACATTGCACAATATTGTGTTTTCACAAAGGAAGCTTCATGAAAGTTCTTATTACTTTTTTTTTTTGTTTTGTTTATGGCTTTAAGACTTGCAAAAGCAAGTCCTATTTTGCCAGCAAAATATTTTGTTTGTCATAGTGAGATGAAATTACGGTTTTTAGACGGAAATTACACTGGGTTTATATTAATTATTTACAGTTAGATGATAACTGAAAGTGACTTATATGGGACTTGGATATTAGATATTATATTATTAGATATTAGATATTATGGAATAAGTGCCGACTTTTATTATATGACTGCTTTGATGTCATTCATGAACTTTAACAAGTCACGAGCGTTATCTTTCTTCATCGACCGAAGAAAGTTAGCTCCATCATCCATAGTTTGCGACCCTAAACTAATTCTTCTTCGCTTCTCGAACCTTTTGCACTTGAAGGCAATGTGTCTTGGATCCTTCAAGCATTGGCATGTTGGGCATTGACCGCTCTTAACTAGACCCATTAGATGAAGATATTTATTTGTTCTACCGTGGTTTATCCTAAGCCTGGTCAGCTTTACTAAGCTGGAGCGGTTCAGATGAGATTTAAGTGTCGCAAACCATAGAACCAGTGCTATCTTCTGTTGAACTGCATGATGGTCCTTACCCTTCGAGGCACATTCCCAGTCGTTGAACTGCTGCCAGTCTTTCATTATTTTCCCCCTCACTATTCTTATCAAATCCAGTAAAGAGACCTTCGCGTTTATTCGATGTAGTTGGTTTTGATTTGCCGTTTTGTCTGCCATTTCATTTCCTGATATTCCTACGATATATCTTATTACTTTAAGGTTATGAAATGCCACTTAATGACTTTTTGCTATTACTGATGATATTACATAATAATATAAAAGTCTACATGTTTTATAAATCCTCTAATCTGTAATATTAAAGTTAACAATAAATCAGATTTTCGAATTTTAAAGAATAAATTGAAATTATAATGTTGAGTACAAATCACAAAATTTTCATAAAATAAATTTAAGCAGATATTTTTCTGTTATATTTTTGAAAATATCTATTGATATAATTTTATCAATCTGTAACTATTTTAAAAAAGTGAATAAAACGTATGAAAAATAAATAAAATAATTCAATAGCAATGTTACTAGTGATTTACTTAGAAGCTTCTTGCATTATGTAATTACAGTAAATAAATTTATATAAAAACGGTTTTCTAATGATAAACCAGAAATGTAAATCTCCTTTCTCACCGTTTGATTTTTCCATCTGGCCAGTCAAAATAAACAATACCGTAATGGTTTTTTAAGCATAAAAAATAAAATAATCCTCTCCAAAGTCGTTTTTAGACTCGTTTTTTTTATTAATTAATTACTTAGTATTAATTAATTTCAACAACATTGGAACTCCGTTTCAATTGACATAAAATATTTCTTTCCAATTATCAAATATTCTTTAGCAGGAACTAGATATTACTAGTTGCATAAATCGAAAGTTAAATCTTTTTCCTCCTTAACAGCTCCCAGGTGTAAATTGTGTTAACAGATCCTTAATCATAGCTGAGGTATTTGCACTGACTCAGCTCGTTAGTGACTTAAGATGCTTATCTCGAAAGAATATAACATGCTATTAGTTTAGAATTATGATATAGAACAGAACCCTTAAGAGTATTGCCAGATGGAAAAAGCAAACGGTGAGAAAGGAGATTTACATTTCTGGTTTATCATCAGAAAACCGTTTTTATATAAATTTATTTAGTGTAATTACATAATGCAAGAAGCTTCTAAGTAAATCACTAGTAACATTGCTATTGAATTATTTTATTTATTTTTCATACGTTTTATTTACTTTTTTTAAATAGTTACAGATTGATAAAATTATATCAATAGATATTTTCAAAAATATAACAGAAAAATATCTGCTTAAATTTATTTTATGAAAATTTTGTGATTTTTACTCAACATTATAATTTCAATTTATTCTTTAAAAATCGAAAATCTGATTTTTAAAAATTTATAACCTTATCAGAACGAAAGATCGAATCCAAGAATGTGTATATAAGGTATATCAAAATTGATAATTTGCATCTATCGCTATATACAGTGTTTTCGTTTTGGTCTCACTTTATCTCTGCGCCTATCAGGTACACTGATAAGTTTTTGTGTGTAAATGAATATCTTTAATTTAAAAATGTCCTTATTTAAAACTATCAAGGCACTGTTGAAATTTATTGAGGAAACAAAATTCTGAAGATAATACGCGTGTATTACATCCTTTTTATTTTTATTGAAAAACTTGAGATTCTATCAGGGGCAATGGTAATAGTCATTTAAATACCATATAATTTTGTAAGTAGAGGGTAATTGAGAAATTTCATATTTTACATTTGTTACTAATGTTTTTAAAAATGTTTCAAAGAACTGTACCAAAACAAATATATTAAAAATAACTTTTAGTTTGGATTTTGTTGTTCCCATAGAATAACATACTACTTACATCATAAAATGAATGTTGCACCAATTAATCAGGAATGATTACTGCAAGAAATATGTATTTGTTCAAACTAAATAAATATTGTTTACATTGATCGAATTTTGAGTAGTAAATAGGAGTATTTAAAGGACATTATTGGAGAAAACATTAATTAAAGAAATTAATTTGGAAAAAGCTACCGCCACTAATGAAAAATTTGTGAATTCTACCCTGCTAAAACTAAAATTATTTCCCAGACGAAAAACATCTTATTTATTTTAGGAACTATATTTCCTGTTAATCCTTAAAAGAAATACAGAAGGTTTTAAATGACGTTTTTGGTCTGTATTTCTCAATATTCGTGAAGCCAATCACAATATAAATCAGAAAATAAATTATACATACAGGATTTTGCAGCATGTCATCTCGTTCCATATCCACCAGACATCAATCATATTACTAACTAGTAATTTTAAACTAAAACCAGTAGTGCTAAATTAAAAATATTTACAATTTACAACATTAATTTGAATCTATAACAAAAAAAAAATATTCGTAACAGAAAAAAAAGCGAATATTTTATGTTAAAAATTTACTTCTTACTATCGCAGTGTTTGAAAAGTGAAACTAATCCACAATTTAATTCTAAAATATGATTGAAATCTGTCCCTCATAAAATAGTCATAACTATACTTATTTCATGTATTCGCTATCACATAAGTCTTTCAAAGGCACTTAATCAAAAGGAACTGGTTGAATAGATATTAAAAAATAAAAATCTAATGCCATAAGACCAGGGGTTCAAACTTTTATTATCTTTTTAAAAAGTCTTATGTTAACAGTCTCCTTGAAACTTTTTCGGAAAAAAACTCCTAAAATAAACGTTCTAAGGTATTTATTATAATAAAGTTCCAGGTTTCTGGTATAAGTTTAACTTTTATTTATTTGTTATCTCAAAAATAGTTACGATAGATTAGAAAAAAAACAGTAATTGGGCTTAGATTGGAGTTATAATTTATCTTGAATGAATTACTTGATTTTAATGTGTTGTTTGTTTGAGTAGCTGAAAGTATTTTTTTAGATCGACTTTTTGGCAAAATCAACAGAACTTGTAAATAAAAGATTTTTTTAATTAAAGTTTTACATCGCAAGGTAAAAATGTTCTACGATAACGGAAAAAAAATAAAATATAGATTCCGTCAATACAGAAACTGTTAAAAAAAAAAAGATTTAAAAAAAAAATTATTTAAATTTACAACAGCATTATATAATAAATACAACAAGTAAATTTGAAATTGGTGAAATGGCATGTACAACATGAAGAAAAATTACCCATTGGTAGAACTCCAAATAATAAACGTTAATATTTTATACTAGCTCTGGTTAAGACAAATGCCTACTTTAAAATATATTTTATAAGATCTTAAAGATCTCAGACCGGATATGCCATCTTGGACAAGAAGAAAGATGTAGTATGGCAAAGGAAACGACGTGCCTCAAGTGACTACCGGAAACCCTAACGACCATCTTCCCTGAAAAGGACCTCTTGAAAAACGTTTCTAGGACGATTATCTGGCAGTAAGGCACTCACGTGAATTATTGTCCATGGCAAGGTTAATGTCAAGGTGAAGACGTCTGGTCTGGAGGCAACGCCTAGGTACATCAAGCTGGCGTCTATCGTCCTCTGGGGGCTGCTGCACCACGCCGCACTAAATGGACAGTCAGTACAGCATTACTGTTGTTCTTTGTTTTTTCTGAATTTATATGTCCTTAATTAACAGTTATTAACAGCTAGAATCAAATTTAAGATACTCCAACAAATGGTATTCTCTAAATAACATTTCATTGTATCTAGTACAAAAATAAAGCTGCAAACCCATTTCATAGATAGAGGATAAACAAAACTATCTTATTTAATCTTTAAAACCAAAAGCTGTAATGTCGGGTTCAATACTTCATGAAAGATTCTTTTAAAATAAAATGTCGTGGTACCTACATGAACAATATTTTATTTCTTTATATTTTTCGTTTATGAATATTATTAACTAGTTGACCTGTATATCTATACATAAAAGACACCCATAAAGATAAATATTGTTTGTAATCATGGTCTGATTAAAATTTAGTAAAATAAATAATAATATTATAAAAAAAGCTCAAAAAACAAAAAATAAATAGTCATAAAAATTATGACAAATCCAAACATTTAACATTTACTCTTAGAAAAACATACTTCACAAACAACTCAAACTACTTTATACCCTCTTTTTTTCTTAATCTTCAAAACTGAAACTGAGATAGAAATTAATTACATACATATACTTACTTTGAACCATATGGACATATCTATCAAAGATATACCGTATTGCTAAAAAAAGACCTACAAAAACTTTAAACCTTCCTACTTGGTATGTGACTAACAAAACTCTAGAATATAAAATAACTTTATTCTAGGACAAAGTTCCTTTAGAATAACAGAATAATACAAAATTAATAAATAAATTGAAAAATCAACATTCTGACCTCCACCTTTCGACAGTTGACCGACATATAACGAACGACCCATTACCAACGATTTTATACAAATTTAAACTGACAAAACAACAAATTAATAAGAAATATGCCAACGGCTGACATACTCCTGAATATGAAGAGGAGACTAAAAAGACGCTAGATCTCCATGCTTAAACAACCTAAGCAGTAGAAACAACTCAGAGAAGAAGTGCTGCTGCCTAGGGGAGACTGGGTAAGGTCGTGACCGTCGCCATATTAGCGAAACAATAACGAATAGCAGACAGGGTTAAGGGGGGAAATGGGAGGTGTGTAAGACTGAACATTTTTCACAGCATATCCTCAGCCATTGCGCAACATTAACGCAAGTAAAGGCATGTATTACTTTTTAACAAGTAACGAGTTTTATTCGATTTCTTTGATTTATTGTCGTTTTTTATTAAATGCAGATATAATAATGATTTTCTGTCTTTTATAAGTTAAACATTAGTGTTTGTATTGTGAAGACTATGTTTTTTTTGCGAGGGAGTGGGTTGGGTAGAATTGTGACATAGTTTGTGGGTACGGTTGTAGTAATTTTTTTTACTTTCCCACCTTTAATAGGTAAGAAAAGTATTGCAATCGGGTCAAATTTCTGGCATGCGGTTTTCGACGGATCTATACATTTCAGAGCACCCTGAGTCCGAAAAACACATATTTAGCCATTGGTCTGTCTGTCTGTGCCAAGATTTTCTCGGGAACTACTGAACCGATTTTGTTGCTTCTTTTTTTATTTAGTAGGATTTTGATTACTGCTGTGACAGAAATTTGGTGCTCCATGCGCAATAGCTTGCACGCAATAAATGAAAAACATGTTTTTTTATAAACTGTAGCGCAAAAACGGCTCGAATCCGTGAGTCCGAAAAATACATGTTTGCCTGTCGTTTGAAAGTTAATGTCATATAAGAATCGTTCATTTTGGACAATTATTAACGAAGTTACAGCTATTCAATTTTCAATGTAAGATTACGGTTTCATATCATGGTGTCAGAAAGGGGTGCATGAGAGAATAAAGATGAATAAGTGAAAGTAAGAAAATCTGTTGCCCGCATCACACTATCATCACTATTTCCTCTACTTTTAACAGAAATTATTCTTTGACAATACTAAGCTATGGCAAAAGTTTTTGACCAGCAATATTATGAAGTATTCAAATTTTTACACAGATCTACCTTCAGCCGGTTTACATTACTTTAGTTTATCAAATAAATCGTACTCAAATCTTATGTTTGATCAATTTTCAGGAAAATGTATCTAGTTCAATTCTTTTTTGTTTCTTCATGAACATATGTAAAGATATAAAAACTTTTCTGAAATAGGGAGGAAAGTCGTGTGAGTGGACACACCAGATATTTTTCTTTTGGATGCTCAGAAAACCTTTAAAAATTAAAAAATAAATAAATAATAATAGTTTTTATATATAATGGACCGAAATAAATAATAAGGTATGATTCTGGGTTTCTGACTACGGGTTGATACATAATATAGTATTCAGTAATAAATCAATTTTGAGGATGAGGAATTAATTCTTAACCTTTTTTGTTGATCGATTACAATATCTTATCATTGAAAATAATAAAACCAAAAATGTTTTAAAACTCCAATATATTAGTAATTATACGCTTTCAATTAGTATTTTTCGATTTTAGGAAATTTAAATATTTTAAAATATTAAGAAATTACACTATATTTGAATTATATGCGAATAAAGTTTCGTTTTTGTCATAGGTGTTTTTCCTAGACGAACTGCTTATTTTTCGGCACTAAAAGAAAAAATTTTGAAAATGATCAATCACTCAATTATTAGATTTCATGGATTGTTAAAGTAACAAAGCAGGTTTAGTTCAGGCTGTTAGGTATTTTAATTGAAATAATTATGTAAAATTTTAAACGAATTGACTTTAAATATGTTATATCTTTAAGAAATTATAAGGGCAAGAAGTGATGTTCTGAAGATGGTGAGTGTCCCCGAAACCTCAATAATGAAAATCCCTGAAATACGAAAAATAACAAATGAAAACAATTGTACAATTCAGAACTTCACCACCATTTTATGGCCTCCATTTTGCTGAAAACTATTCCTGTAGAGTCAATCCTAGTTTTTTTTTGGTGAAGTGTGCACAGTCAGGTACTATCTTCCAAAATCACAAAGAAAGAAAATATGTGTTGCTAAACTTCAAGAGAACAGCCTGATGTAGGAAGTATGGGGAGGAAGAAGAGGAGACCAAAACCATGAAGCTCAATTTCAGACAGCAAGTGAGTCCGAATTGACAATTCAATTTCAATCAAGCAAAATCACTTCTAACATTACAATATCATACTAAAAATTGTAATTTCACAGTCAGTAATATCTTGCAGTACAAAATACAAAGAAGGCAGAACGGCGGGTAAGAAATTTATGTTATCGATGGAAAACTTATTACAGGACGTTTTGTTATAGCAATATTTTAAGATGTGGAGTAATTTTTTTTTTTAACAATAATTTTTAAAACTTATAGGAAAATATTGAAATAGTTTAATGTTATTCAAATTTAACATCTGCACAGTGAAAGCGAGTCAAAGTTAAAAATTCCATTTATTTTCTTTGCTGAGACACGCGACATAGGATTATTCGTTTTGAATGGTATTGGAGAGTTGAGGGTGAATAGAGGACCGCATATCGATGTGAAAGACAAAAGGATCCGGTTATCAGAAGGAAGTCGATTTGATTACTTTCTAAACTCAGATCCTTATTACTTCATCCTGGGGTGGTTGACATCATTCAAATCATCTTAATGATATAAATATTTGATCTATGAGGGATAAATTAAGACATAGACCTTTTAGTGTATTTGGTATTATTACAATTATATAGGATGTAGTTAAAATTAGAATTTAAAAACTCACTTGCTGAATAATAAAAAAGATTAATTTACTTAAAATATGAGTTTCGATACCCATCATATTATGTATATCTCATGTTTTGAGGGGGAACAACTTCAAAAAGGTCGTCAAAATAGCCGGCAAGACTCCTCCACCAAATTTAGTTGACTAGTTCTTAGCTTATCGATCCAGGCAGCCACCAAATTATCTGGTCACTCAGCCTTCGTCTTCTAATCCTTCATTTTACATTAAATTTTGGCCAATAAGTTTTCAAGATATCTATTTCAAGCATCTTCATCAAGTTATAAATTCCACATAATTATTAAGGAGGAATTTAATTATTTCATGAGGATTATAATCAATAAATATTTTAATTAAATGATTCTATATAAAGCAGTAATCCGCCCAGTAATAACGCAGTTACACATGCGAGTCAAGTTATAGAAAACTAAATGTAATTCAAAATATGTGTATGAGAATTAAAAAACAACTGCTCAAGATAAACTAAAATATCCTCTACACTATCAGAATTTATCATTCGTCAATAAAACACTACATCTTTTTTAAAATACAAAGATTTTTGACTTTGCGCCAGTTTCAGAAAATCCCATTATTCAAAAAATAGAAAATTACGATAAGAAATCACTAAAATAGTTCACTCAGAGACGTACTAAAGATATACTCCGTAGCTCACGATAATACTATTTATTTAATTTAATTTAACATATTAACTACAAAAAAAAACGATAGCATACATTCTTTACCTGATAATGTATGATTTATCCAATTAAAAGATATTTATTATTTTCTTTTTAATTAATTATATTATGTTAAATTTACCTGAGTGTCTGTAATGAAGTTATTTATATATTTAGTTTCTTTATATCTTTTACATTTTATATAGATTTTTCCTACTGTCTAAAATTATGTCTTCTGCATTCCAAATATACAATCACACTACTATTGTAACATGTAAGACAACCACAAGCAGGTACTAATTGTTATGACATGATGTATTTATATATGTAAATAAATTGATTAAAAAAAAAATTAAAATTAAATAAATATTATATTTCAAGGATCAAAATATATATTTTAAAAAAAGATTCTGTACCAAATCTTATTTCCAAAGATTCTGTTACATCTTCGACTACTATATGTTAGAAAATCAGAAGTGGTTAATATAACTGAACCAAAGATGAAAACAGAAACATCCATAGAAAATCAAAAAAACTAAGATAAGGAATAATT